TACCAGTCTCGCTAAAATCGAGACTCGGATGTTACTTCATTTTACTGTCTCTCGTTGCCAATGCCTCCTGGTGTCACTATTAATAATTACGAAATTACAGTCTGTTCTGTGACCGGTATCTCCGTCCGACTAATGATGCTATTAGATTTCAGCACGAAATGTTCTTTTTTAATTACAAAATAAATTGCTCGCATGCAGACGTTTATCCTCACATTGCATTACCACAAGACAGAATGTGTTTCGCGGTTCAGAATATTCTGGCCCTCTAATTTTTCTTAGTTCATATTTATAGTTGTGAATATGGCTTCTCGTTGAGTCCATGGAACATGGTCCTTGAGAAGCTGATAGTCACTCAGCTAGTCCATACGTTTTCCGCCATTTATGCCAAGTCCGGTGGTTTGTCTAAAATTTCATAACAGCGAGATTAGCCCAGCCTCCAAACCGGAGTACCACCCATTATCGGCTGTCCGCGAATACCGTCCACTCCTGGAATCCTCCACCCGCTGCAATATAATTACGGTCATATTTGTTGGTGTTTTAACCGTGGTCCAGATGCTGTTCTGGGTAACCTCATCTTCAATTATCACCTCGACCACTCGGCCGCTATTCTGCCGATGACTTCCCCTAATTTCGTCAGATGGAACCACTGAGGCCAGTTTTTCATTATTTTACTCCCTGGTCGACGTGAAAAGAGCGCGTTGCATGCCGGTCCATTGGATGCGATTTATAGGATCTTATTGAATGGAGGTCTCCGTTCGATCCACGTGAGCTTCACATATAATCCGGCTTCAAATTCCCGACCCAAAACGTCCGTATCTTCAATCTACACGATCGGAGTTTCCAGTTAACTGATTCGTATTATTATTTAACTTTTTAAAGCCTGGTGGTAACTATATTAACCACCTTCTTTAACATTAAAAAATTCTGCATTATGCCCACAGTGCATTTATTGGTTTTGTATGATTCTCGGTGTAAACAGCGATTATTTCCTTAAACAAGGTTAACCGGTTGATCTTTGTAATGGTGAAGTGTGGTGTTTTCTTCGCGGTACGGACTGAATTCTTCAGTTTCATTTGAAAGAGCTTCGGCTCCAAAGGTTAATTAGCGTTTTAGTCGTATTATTTCCTTAAACAAGGTTAACCAGTTGATCTTTGTAATGGTGAAGTGTAGTGTTTTCTTCGCGGTACGGACTGAGTTCTTAAATGTCATTTGGATGAGATTCGGCTTCGAAGGGCTGGCGATGTTGAAACTTGGGCCGTGACGTTTCAGACGCAAATACGTGAGTTTCTGCTGTATAGTGCACGATGTAGTTGCTCTGCTCGGATGGATGGACGTGTCTGAGGCGGTCACTTCGACGAACAGACCGACATCCTGATCTCAGTCAGCATCGCGCTGTCAGAAATGATTCAACGCCACCCGACAAATTATTCATTATTGTTCCATTTATTCGTAATTGACCAATAATTATGGAAATGATATTCAACCTAGAATTTATTTGAATGTGTCAAATTGGCTTATGTGACTGAAAATAGGGTTGAGAGTGTTGCCTTTTTATCGATGTTGAATTTTGATTTTTGTTGTGTATATTCGAGTTTTAATTTATAGCCAAGAGTGTGACCCGTATTGAACTGTGGGTCACAGAGCCCTTGAAAGTCGCACTGACTTTATTGTGTGTTTCAATTAAGCCACGATTGCCCCGCGCCTGGTTTTTATAACCTCTTATCAGTCCAGCCTGTCATTTGTGTTCAACTGTCATTTGAAGGAATCCAATCTTCATTAAACTGATTATCAAATGCGATTCGGGTTGGGTCTTTGAGTGCCCCTGTACTGTCCACTGCAGGAAACCAATTATGCAGAAACATTTTGACACTCTGGCGGCTGTGAAGATCTCACTGTTGATCTTATTTCTGTAGTATCTTCAGCCCTGAAGATGGAGGCAGCATGTTTCTCTGCATATAAATAAGCACTGCGCTAAGATCGAGCAGTTTTACTACTCGTACAATCTCATCGAAATTTCTGAACACAGTAATCAACTTCCGGGTTGCATAAAAGGCGGTGGATTTCTTGACTGATTGAGCGACTGTCAGCTTATCTGCAAGGACTCTGCGCCATGGAGTCAGTTCATAACGTCGCTTTCAGTAGATTTGGTCTCAAAACGTCAAACGACCAGTGAACTGGGAGGGATCTAGAAGGACTCGGTTCTTTCGATATAATTCTCGGTACTATCCCAGCATTTCCCGGGAGGGACTGAGGAAAACTAACTCATTTAGGACAGGGGGTGTCGGGGCCGTGATTTTAGTGTTGGACCTCCCGAATGTGAAGCAGGGGTACCAACCACTCAGCCGCGATGCCCATCCTCTTGATAATCTGCTGCGGTGATTAGCCACGGGATTCGACTTCGGATTTCCATCTTCATGACCGCGTCCAGACGCCATCCTCTTATCCAAGGATTACCGGGTGTTCCCCCCTCTGCCCATTGCCGAGGTTTAAGGTGCGCGTTTTTCAGTTAAGTCAGGGGCTTTAGTCGGCCAGCTGTTGGCATATTTTTCCGATAAAAGAGGAAGGTGCAGAATTCGAATCGCAAAACGTTTTTGCCTTAACGTAATCTTCAGCTACGTGGATTTTGTGCGACGAACTGCAGCGGTTGGGTTCTGCACTGGAAGTGTCAAAGCGGACTCTTGTATTTGCGGCATTCCAAGGGCATTAGAGCGGTCATCCTTTCATTTCTGAGAGTATCGACGCACGCCCTCACCTGGTATGGTCTTCTGTTTTAACGACCACGCCATTTTTCCGTCCCGATGCATTCCTGTGTCTCAGATACTTTTATCGGAATGCCGCTGAGGTAGGCGGATAAACGTTGCAGCTGAAATCATGTTCTCTGTGCTAAACACTTTGTTAAGACGGGCCTTTTAATTGGCGTCTTGTATTTCAATGGCAACTTAGCACTTCAGTTGCCAGGCAACTTAAAAAAAGACACGTACCGGAAAAAATAAATGGCTTGACCTTGAAATATGGCAGGAGTTGTTTGTTTTGGCTGATATTAAGCCACAGGAAAGCCAATCAGGAGAGAAGTGTTTGGTTTCAAGATGATTTATCTCGTTCGTAGCACTGACGAGATTAAAACAGACAGTAAGACTTTGTGACTGAGGGGCGCAGTAAACAAGACTCGTTCTTGAGATGCGCTGTCGTCCATGGCGGCCCCAAGGGGGCTCTTAACCCCTTGATCGTTCTGTGTATCAACTTATTATTACTGCTGAGATGGGGACGAGACGAAATCTCTGTGGGACTGGGCCCCTAATGTGCCCATTGTCCAACTATTAAGTTGTTGACCTTGACTGTATTCAGTATGCAGTAAAATCGATATGACGTCAAGGTTAAAACAAAAGACAGGTCGTCATAGTAACTGTCAAGAAGGCAGGGATAAGGACGGGATGTCACAACGAGACATTACCTAATTACCAGCCAAAGATTGATGGAAGTTTGTCGGCTAATCAAGAGGATTTAATCACATGTAGTCGCCGTGAGAGCCTCAAGTCTTATAAAACAAAGATTGTTTTCACAACAAAATGCTTTTGTAATCGACTTTTTCCCCCACCATTTAAGCTTTATCGTTTCCAGTACATCATGTAATGCATAAAGCGATCTGTGTCCACCGTTGCTGCGTCCTTAAGTGAAAAATATACGATTGAATTCACAGAGCGATCTATTTACGAGCTACGGCTGAAACTATTGGATAAACTGTGACGTCACATTACTTCGTTTCATGACGTATTTGTAAGATTTTGACTGAAATAAGAGAAAATGTGTGATAGCCTACAAGAAACGAGCAATTTTTTTGATTTCAGTACAGCAGAATTTAATGAACATGTGCCGCTTTCGCTCTTTCTATAATAAAGGTGTTTTTTTAGCACTTTGAAACAGTAGAATGCATATTCTCCAGATAATCACGTAATTATCGTCAGATCTTATTCGAAGCTAAAATGACTTTGCGGATCGTGCAGTGTCGTTAAATAGTACGTAAGGCCCAGTCATCGCATTTTAAGGCTTAAGCCAGAAAGACAGATTACCGCGAAGAAAACACTACTCTTTACCATTACAAATATGAACTAAATTTTGACTGAAATAAGAGAAAATGTGTGATAGCCTACAAGAAACGAGCAATTTTTTTGATTTCAGTACAGCAGAATTTAATGAACATGTGCCGCTTTCGCTCTTTCTATAATAAAGGTGTTTTTTTAGCACTTTGAAACAGTAGAATGCATATTCTCCAGATAATCACGTAATTATCGTCAGATCTTATTCGAAGCTAAAATGACTTTGCGGATCGTGCAGTGTCGTTAAATAGTACGTAAGGCCCAGTCATCGCATTTTAAGGCTTAAGCCAGAAAGACAGATTACCGCGAAGAAAACACTACTCTTTACCATTACAAATATGAACTAATCACATTTAAAAACATTATTTAAGAATTCAGTCCGTACCGCGAAGAAAACACAACACTTCACCATTACAAAGATCAACTGGTTAACCTTGTTTAAGGAAATAATACGACTAAAACGCTAATTAACCTTTGGAGCCGAAGCTCTTTCAAATGAAACTTAAGAATTCAGTCCGTACCGCGAAGAAAACACTACACTTCACCATTGCAAAGATCAACTGGTTAACGCTGTTTAAGGAAATAATCGCTGTTTACAGAGGGAATCATACGAAGCAAGTGAGGAGTTCTTGACTGTTGAATCAGGTGGTGCATATAGATACCACTGTTTTGAAGGGTCGAGGGAGTGTGTTGTGTGATGTTCTTAGCGTCAGCTGTGCTGGACCTTCCGGACGGATGCAGTGTTATTCATCAAACTTGGAGCGTTCACATCTGGGACACGGGGAGAAAGCATAAGATTCGTTTCCAAGACGACGCTAAGAAATGCGCTGACTCAAAACTCTAGCCCCCCCCGCCCCAACCCATCTTTCTGAAGTTTCTTAACTTTGTTTTGTTTTCTTTTTACAGTGTTGGGAAAACTGCGAGCTACTGCAGTCCAATTTTCCGGTCTGGGGCGCCATGTGTTCTGAACGAGGAATTTGTGTAAGTAACTACCTTCTCGAGACATTTGCGTCCAAAATGGTGCCTTAAGAACATCCTATCATCATCAAGTCCTCCTCAGCACATTTTATTACGATGATGAGATATATTCAAATGAGATTAGCGGGGCATGTAGCACGCGTGGAGGACGTAGCCAAAGCATTGGTTGCAAAGCGTGAAGACTACTCGGAAGACCTAGGCGTGGATGGGAGGATAATATTAAAGTGGATAGGATTTGTGATGTTGGTTCTGTTCATTTGGCTCAGGATAGGCACCGAGGCGGGACCTTGCGAACTCGGTAATGAGTTGTTATTATCGTTATTGGGAGGGGTGTAAGAAATGGAAGCAGCGGCCTGCGGTCCATTGTTTGCAATCCCATTTGCCTGCCTGTTCGTGTAGTTCAGATGAAAGTCTCACTGCATTGACGGTCACGCAGTTTGCGCTGGACATGAAGCTAGGGTAGGGGAGACAAGAAATGGTTACGGAATTTTTGTGAGAAGATCTTTGTAAATCTCAGGGAGGCAGGTTCATCGCGTGGGAGGTGGAGTAGCCGAGCCTTGTTGCTGTAGGTGATCGTCTTGTTTCATGACCCTTGGGCCCTAAAAGGTTGAGGGCAGAGGGTGTGGCAGTACGCCCCACCCCTACCTGTCAGGCGGAGGAGGTGGGTAGGCTGCCCGCACAAGCGGAGTTCCTTCTCCTATTTTTTGTCTGTCCAAACTAAGGCCCTCGTTTGTGCGGCCTCCCACTTCCTGCTCTGTTGGTTTTAAAACTTGTCTGTCCGTCCGTCCGTCTTCGCGTCTCCTTACACGTCCACCTCCTCATTTTAAGTTTCGCGCAGCTAAGTCAACTGTTCCCTCAGAGCAGGAGTGGCATAATGTTCCGACTAAATAGCGAAACGTAACACGATGGGGATACTAGAAATGCGCTCAGAGTTTCGATGGCGAAATCTCTTGAAAACGCAGTCACTTGGAAATGGGAAAATATGGATTTTATCCCAGCTTTCTTCTGCGGGCTAAGTGCAAAGTTGTCATTGTGCTTAATTAAGAACCACGCCGCGGGTAGAGGAGGTTAGGTTAGGTTGGGTTTGCTTAGGTTAGGTTAGGTTTGGTTAGGTTAGGTTAGGTTAGTTTAGGTTATGTTAGATTAGGTTAGGTTAGGTTTGGTTAGGTTAGTTTAGGTTAGGTTTGCTTAGGTTAGGTTAGGTTAGGTTTGGTTAGGTTAGGTTAGGTTAGGTTGGTTATTTTAGGTTAGGTTGGTTAGGTTAGTTTAGGTTAGGTTTGGTTAGTTTAGGTTACGTTAGTTTAGGTTAGGTTTTGTTAGGTTAGGTTATCAGACCTAGTCTGAAAACGCTGGCTTTGTTACCAAAATGGACTGAGGTAATTCGGTGAACATTTGCCTGGATGTGATGTGGAAAATGAGGATTAATACAAATGAGTATATTCTTTAACCCGTCAAAGATTCGAACCGCATACTTTGGGCGTGCAAATCCAGAGCATAGCGACTACACCAATCTGCTCGTTTGATGTATCACATACTTTAAGGGTAATTTACGCGGCTGTCAAATTCTGGCGCAGTAACAAGTGTTTGAACCTCAACACCCCCACCCCTCGCCTTCCTAACGCCACTTACCCCCTTCACATGAGAAACGCGGTCGTGGCGTGCTCACCCCAGGGGTGGGTTTCGATTATATGGCTCACATCGGGTGGCAATTTAACTGCGGATAACCACCGCATTATTTATGGTCGTTGTTTGTCTTGCAATTAATCGCAAGTTAGAATAGTTTCTACGGCTTTTGAAACATCGCAGATTACAGTCAACGATACATAAATACGTCGGCTATCGAACTGCTCCGTGTGAACGTCAGTGCAGATGGACACTTCTATTTCGCCCGCAGAAAGGGACAGATGTGTAAGTACGCGATGCTGTCGGTCCACGGTCCTCCAAGAAACTTAGAGTCGCGTTCATCTAACGTATTTGAAAGAAGTAATGAGATAAATAGACATGAAAGAGATGTCAACGCCCTCAAATGTTTTTCTCGTCGGTTCAGTAAATTATCAAACATAAACTGAGTACAACCTGTAAGGTAAATTACTGAAATGGGTCTTGTAGTAAGTAAACGTGTTGCTATATGTCACTGCCAGTGACTTAAAATAGGCCACAACAGTATAATTTTAAATTATTTTCGTGCCATTTCATTTCACTCGGCGCTATGTGACATCTACAGCTGAAAGAACACTAGTAATAATAATAATTATTATTATTGTAGGTCCGTCTTACGGCTTCATTTGTCTGTATAATCGGCAAGTCCTGGTCAGTGATTTTTTTAAAGTCACTATTTGCACGATGTGTGTTATGACCGTTGCCATGGCAATGCTGTTCAGGAATTCTGGGCCTCGCGGAATAATATTTGTTGTCGTAATATTTATATAAATGTTAAGATTGTGTTGGAGGGGATATGATCTCCGGACTCGTACTTGGAAACCCAGCTTTTCGGTTTTTATATGAATTATCAGTCGGGGGGGGGGGTAGAATTGTGGCGGAATATCGAGGGAAGGCAGGCGCCCTCTTTTTCTCTGCAGCGGACAGTTACTGCTTTGTGCTGTCCTAGGAGACGGAACGTGCAATTAATTTCGTCCGCAGGGAACATTTAGAAGGGCTTAAGAAAACGCGCCCCGTTTCCCGTAACTAGAAAGATCGATTTATTTGAAGTACCAGAAGGGGAAGCCCCTTTTAACGTGCATAATTCATCTTCTGTCAGTTTTTTTTTCCTCGTGTGGGAGACAAATTCAAGAGGTAACTTTTAAGAAACTTCTCTCGTTTCTTTCAAGGGGGGGCTAAATTAAGATAAAGGCCAAATGACGCAGCAGTGAATAGCCTCTGTAATAACCGTTCGCCTGTGAAATATATCTTTTCTTATTTTATTTTTTATAAAAGGTGAAAGGTGATTTTTTTCTTCCAGAATATGATCAAGGGGTCAGAAAATCAGTCATTCGCTCTCATGTACAATTAGTACATGAGTAATCTACGTATTTTGTGACGGAACTGAATTTCTTCACAGGTCGAAACACGTAAAAATGTCAAATGAATGCAAAATGCCGAGGGATTGTTTGCTAAAACAGGTGGTACATATAGTTACCACTGGGCATCAAACCATAGGTCTGTACAGTACTGGAAGCCGCAAGTGAATCTAAATTATGTCCCTAAACCTAAGGGGAGCTGAAGATGGAAAAGATGGTTTTCCCCATTGTTTTGTATTGTCTCAAAAAACGTCTTCTTACCATGAAGGAACTTTATAAATTTTAAGTTAATGAAAGCCAAGTGTTGGGTTGGGCTGAGAGGGGAATATTTGAGTATACGAGGGACAAAAAGGGATGGAAGGAGAAAGTTACTCATCCTCCGAGTATTAACTCGCACAGTGGACACTGTATAAGTAATGGAACTGAAGAAAAAATGCAATCATTAAATGACCAAAGAATCAGTCAGTCATTAGCAGTGATCTGTAAATTATCTTGTCGCATCTCTTAGACGCAAAACGTTCGATTTTTTTTTGTTTGTTTCGAAGTTGATTAGATCATTATGAGGGCAATAATTGAGCGGTCCACGGCTTATCTCGCCGACAGATGGCTTGATTGAGTTGCTAATTGATTATCAACAGCCTCGATAAATGCGGACTTGTTCATTTTTCTTTCGACAATGAAACTTCGCCTGTTCCGAAGCGATGGCAGTCACTTGTCTTCATTAAAGCGAGTGTCCTCCCTTAGCGCCCGCTCCACGATGCTTGTTTCACGACGCCTGTTCAAATCAGTCGATAGATAAAAGTCTATTGTATATTACGCAATTGTAGAAGCTGAAGTTTTATTATGCTGTCACAAGAGACCGCAACTGGGTTATGTGAGCCAGATTAATCCAGTCCGCTCCCTCACACATGTTTCTTCAAGATGTATATTAATATTATTCTCCTCGTATGTTTGTAAAGAGCACATAATTACATTTATAAAGTTTAATGCAAGGCACTGCTTATATCGGATCGATTCGAGTCAATAATAAACTCGCAGTATCGATATTATTTCAGACACTCCGCTTAAGGTTAGGGTAAATCCCGGAGAGGTGTTGCATCTTTTTAGTTCGGTGGGTTCCGGTAATCTTCGGCCGATGGCAGTAAACGTCCTCGTTCAGCGAGCCAAGATAAATGTCGTGAGAGCACGCATTTAAAATCGGGGATGTTTTGCAAGAGTTATAACATTTTACGCTCAAAGTTATTTCTACTGTTCATAAAATGTGTCTTTATTAGTTCCAGTCCTGGTAATTAAAAAAAAGAGACTGGAATCAGGAAATTTAAACAAAGCCGACTTGGACCTGCAGGTATTTCATTTTCCTTCTGAAGTAATCAGGTACAGCAGCTCCTTATTTAGGCACAATAATGCAAACTTTTAATATTTACCGAAAAATTAGGCAAACGAGTAGAGAGGGCATAGGTTCAGGGGTTTGAAACGTGTTTAAATAAGTAAACGAAAAACGTTACTTCCAAAATGAGAATGATAGAATAAAAAGGTTAATCTGGACCAATTAATGAGAAAAAGTCGTCGCTTATATTCCGCACTCTCAGGAGCAGGTTTTGCATGTCCGCGAGAGACGCCGCAAAGACTTTTTTATCGTCCTGTATCTCTGAGAATTTATTTGCTGTAGATATTTTGTTTACAGCTTAGTATTGTATAATAGAGCTCTTAAATATAATATCTCTGAATTTTCATCCGTTTTGACCATTTTGGCACTGAGTTAATACAAATGTTGCAAAAAGTGCGACATCTCTCCCGGATTTACCCCAAGTTTTTTTTTATTCCCTCCGTCTGGAGCAGACTTTTGAATCCACAAACGTGTATTTATTCACAGGGGGCCGTGTGTTTGAACTAAATTCACAGTGAAGTAAGAAGGGGCGGCATAATTAGCCAGGGGTCATCCTTTGAGCTGAGAGTTCTCAGCCACAAAGTGACCGCCCAGAAATTCATATAATTTTCACGATGAAAGAATTATATTTTGTAAAAGGGAGAGCCTGGTCTGTATTGAGCAGGATTACCTCGTGAGGGATGGAAAGAAAAGGGGAGGAAACCGAGAGCGAAGGGGTGAAAAGGGGATTTGAGTTGGGGGTGGGTAGAGATACGAAGAGAAATTGCCTGTACAGAGTCAGCAGAGTTTAAACTGGGTCTTGTATTTGTTGAGGGTTGATGAGGGGTGTTTGTTGCAGAAGGGAGAAAAGAAATGTGTCCGATGAAGTTGGCCGTGGTCTCAAGGAAGGAAAGACAATTTTCTTCTGTCGAAGGCCGTGTTAATCGGACCTCATCCCTTCGGCACTGACTGCTCAGCTTGACCCTGAATTAAAAGCTAAATTACTTGTTTGTTCCAATAAGAATGTTCAACCGCTGGCCGACTCTGGTTAGAGCCCTTTGTCAGGTTGCTGCGACTTCCATTTCTAGTATCTAATAATGTACTTAATTGGCCAGAAAAGTTATTGCTTTTCTAGGATACTTCTCTAGGCCTATAAATTATTTTATGTCATGTGGGAATTTTTATACAATGAGCAGTTTTATGCGCGTTGGCAGCCCTGCGGAGCTACTATTAAAATCACTCAGTCTGGCCGCATGTAACAATTCACGGACGGCAGAATTGGATATTCGTAAAAATTTACTTCGTGTAATTTTTTCGAAAAATTGTGGGGCAATTTGGAGTATAAATTATAACAATTACCTTACAAAGGGCATTTTTCTTGATGTGATGTTATTTTTAATTAAACAGCGTTAACAAGTTGATCACTGTAACGGTGAAGTGTCGTGTTTCCTTTGCGGTACGGACTGAAAGTCTTTTGGAGCTTTGACGGAAAGCCGAGTCTTTTAATTTTATGGATGCTACTTAGTTACTCTCCCAAGAGAATGTTATTGGTGTGTGGCCGAAATATCAATACTTTTATTTGTCACAGACGTGGCGTGGGATTAAATTTTAAATTAAAAAATTTCTATGTGAAAACCACTACAGCGTATGGGACAGGCAGAAGGCATTTGTCAAGTCTCTGGGGGTTTTTTTGT